AGGAGGGAGCAGGCTCTTCCCTTGCTGCCCCAGAGTGCCCCCCCACCCAGAACGTCACCGCATCCCCTCTCCCTACTCCTCTTCCCAGCCCTGCCTCAGACCCACTCACATTCTGGGGATGCCCTGAGGAAAGTAGAAGCCTTTAGGGTGAACAAGGCAAAACGAAAAAAGTATCAGACTTTCCTGGTGGAATACAGTAAGGGTGGTTTTGAAACCTTGACCCCCTAGCTGAGTGTTTAATCTCTGACCCTAAAGTAACCTTTATTCTGTTTTTCAGTTCTTTCTTTCCTTGTATTGGTCAAACAGGATCCCGGATAAGGAAAAACCTTTTGCAGTTGCCTGAAGACCCTGGAGGCGTCCAGGCAGGCAAGGGTGACACCCTTGAGGATGCACTGGCCCAGGGCCTCAGGCCCAGCCTATTACAGACGGAATGCCTCCCCCACAGATGACTTCTGTGGTGAGATAAACTTGTGGACGGAAGTAAAAAGCTGATCAACTCTCCATTTATAAAGGAGACATTCTGATTGCAATTTGATGAGCCAAGAATAACAAGTATAAAATAATTTGCAGATGTAAAGTATTTCAGATAACTTTTTCTCTTTTTTTCATTGTGAATGAAATGCAAAATTTGTAGAAAGCTAGAACAAACTCATTCTCTGACTTTCTAGGACGAGAGTAATGACAATAATGTTCTCAAAATTGGAGAAAATGTACATTGGATACATCTTCCTTCTAGGGGTAACAATAATATCCCAGGAATTTCATATCTTCAAAAAACCAACTGGAATTGATTCCAATTGACTGAGAAGTCCTATTTCTTACCTTTAAAGAATTGGTGCAACCAAATTTACTTTCAATTAAACCTGAAAAACACAGCCTTTGAAGTTTCTGCTGACAGTTATTCAGACCATATTCTGCCCCAAAAGACGAATGACATTTTGCCCAACGACCTATGACTAACAAATGCCTTTTTTTTTTTTTTTTACTTTAGAGATTTCAGGAATGGTGTGTATCAAAGTGCCTTAACTCTCTGAAAACTTGTCTGGGGGCCTGGACTATTTGGAATCTGCTTGATGAAAACAGATCAATTCTGATCTGCATTACATTAGAGAGCAAACATTTGAGGAAGCTTCACGCCTAGATACTATTTTATCCCTATTTTATATATTGCCTTGCCTTTTTAAAAAATGTACCCTCACTAAGATGTTAAACTCCACGAATATTTAAGAAATTACAGCACTCTTCTAGAAAGTCATAGTCAGCAGTAAACATTTGTTAATTTAATTTCACACAGTACTTAATGTTGCACACATTGTAGGTGATTCAATAAATACTCCTTGAATTAAATTTAAACATCTTACTCTTTAACAGTGAAGAAATAAGATTCAAATAAAGATATTAGGAACAAATGAGAGTCTGTGTGGTAGAATCACCAAGACAGTCAAATGCTATATCTTGCTCAGCAAAACTTTGATCAAGTTAGTCAATCTCTCTATGCCTTGGTTGCTTCCTAAGTGAGAATGAGAAAAGAAACTCTTCACAGGGTCCCATAAGGACTAAATAAGATAATTTTCAGAAGGACATCAGCTATGAGGAAAGGTACTCAAAAATATTAACTATTATTATTATTCAGCAGAAGCATTTTGATGGGTAGTGTTGAACATGGCATAATGACTATATCACAAGGGCCACATCAAAATACCAGGTAACCATGCCTGCTATACATGTGCAATCTATACTTTACACAAATTATCTCAAAGACTTCTGACATCAGTACCTTGCCAGGATTACACTGCTAGGATTTACAGCTCAAGTCTGTCTGACTGAAAGCCTATCTTGTGTCTTTAGGTAAACTCAGGTCTTCCTTCTAGGAGCACCTAGAAGTCCATAAGCTTAGTATTTGATAAACCTGCAATTAAGTGTGGGCTCCTAAGTGTTCCCCAGGCTGTCCATTTACCCCATCCTTTGCTGTATTTCAGTCTTTCTGACTCATCACTTAGCTCCGTTCCTGAAGAGCACTCCAGTGACCTCATCCTCTCATTCTTTTATTCAACAAATATGTATGGAAGTGGGAGGCACCGTCATGGGTGCTGGGGATGCAGCAGTGAAGATAATCAACATGGCCACTGCCTTCATGGCACTCAGTCTAGAAGGAAATATGGACACACAACCACTTAACAACAGTCGCTGAATGGGATGGCAGGGAAAGTTCTGGAATGCCATGATAATTCTTTTTTGCAGGGAGATACAGTCTGGTCTAGGAATCAGGGAAAAGTTTCTGGAAAAAGTTATGTCTCTCCTGGAAGCAGAAGAAGAAATTGATAAGAGAAAAGACCGGTCTAGGCAGTGTGGGTGGAAGTGCAGAGGTTTGAGGGCAGCCTAGCATCAATGAAGAACTGAAAGAAGTCCAGTATAAGAGGATAACCCAATGTGAGGGGGAGAGAGATGGAAGCCGAAGAGAAGAGTGTTTTTAGTTTGATTTAATGTCTTGAAAAGCAGCTAAATTACTTTTCAGTTGGGTAGAGGCCTATCTGCCTAGCAAATGTCAAAGTTAATATCTTTGCATAGTTATCTAAGCCAGAGGTCTACAACTGGGGTGTGCTATTGTGCATACTTCCCAGGGGGTAGACAAGACAATTCTCTGGAATGTGAGGAGGAAACAGTAGAATGAGTATTTATATTTGTTTTTTTGTCATCATTTGTCATTTCAATTCTCAAGTATGTTTTAAAATTTATACAAAGTATTAGTACAAAAGTATGTATAATTTATAAATAAATATAAATTAGGGGTTCACACTTAAAAGTATTTTAGTGCTTACTTGGTTAAAAAATGATTTAAATGCTTTATATCATTTAAGGTACATTCAGTCAGTACATTCACCCAGATTGTACCAAGGTTAGTTTTTCTACAAAACATATATACCTACCTCATTTAGGTAGAAGCATGACTTTAGCAATCCCCAAACCCAGGGACATATAAACATACAAACTGAGTCTCTTAGTACCCTCAGGTAACCTCCATAACCTTCACATAATGCCAACACAACGGCCATCGGCTTTCTCAAATTCTACTCATTTTTTTTTGGTGCACATATACTTTTCAACGAACTTTATTTTCTATTGTTTTACCTCACAGAAGATTTAGGGCACAGGGGCTTTGAGGAAAAGAGATTAGCTCAGGGAGCTATTAGGTCAGAAAAAAGTGACAGCAGAAGAAATGACAGCTGACAGACAGGGAAGATACAGGGAAATAAACACGTCATAACAATGCCTTTGTGAATTCAACTCAGTGAAACGGACTGTTCCTAATGAGGGTCTGAGTCATTAAGGAAGGATTCAGTTATGTTAGTGCTACATTCTGTTTTTTAAGGAGGCAGGTGAGTATTTTTACATTTAAGGAAAAATTCCACCAAAAAGAAAAAAGTTCACATAAGAAAATGTTGCTACTTGAGAGAATAACTTTCACAGGATTACATTTTTATAGCTGCCAGGGAAATGAGCAATCATGATTCTAGGCCAACTTGCTGTGACTGTATTTCTCCACCTCCTGGTGCCCTGTTTGAAGAGGAGAGGTCAAGTGGACAGATTTCTGGAATTCCATCCTTACTTCAAATAGAGCACTGTGTTCTTTTTCTCCATAATGCATAGGTCCTTCCCTTAAATTTAACTGAGAAAACTGGTTCTTCCACTTTTTGAACATTTGAAAACTGCCGAAAGGCCCAACTCCTTCATTTAACATATAAAGAAATATAAAGACGTAAAGTTCATTCATTAGGTTCAACAAACATACACTTAGAATCTACTGTATGCCAAACCATATGCTGGGCATCAGAAGTTCAAAGATAGAGGAAAGACTGACAGCTCAGAGTGTGTGAGGGAAGAGATGGGCAGAGAGCAGAGTGGGAGAGGGCCATTCACGTCAATAATGACTGTACAGCAGGAACTTGAAGGCAGCAGCGCCTAACTGCTCAGAGCGTGGGCAGGGAGAGCCAGGGGATGTTTCAGAAAGAAGAAGATACTAAGCTGAGTACTGCTGATGAGTAAAAGTTTGCCTGTCAAAATGCTTAGGGAATTCCAGACTGAAGAGATAATGCCTACAAAGCACAGAAATGTGAAAGCCCCAGAGAAGTTAAATGACTCGGCCAAGGTCATTTTGTAGGTTTGCTTTAGAGCTAAGTTTCTAAACATCCAGGCCTC